GGCTCTAACACAACTCGTACTACAAAAAAAAAAAATATGAAACACGTTTACAATTCCCTATAACGCCAAATTAGAGCGCAGGCCTTGAGAAGGACGATGGGAGGATTCGGAGAGGAGGTTATGCCCCTATGCCCCTCCTCTTTATTTGTACCCTCTTCTTCTCCCGTGCTCCTCCCCTATTCCTGAGCTCCTCCTCCTCCTCCCTTGAGGTTTTTCAATTTTGCGATATACCGTGCTAAACAATCTGAGAAAGATAATATATATTGTGGTATTTTCGCTCACCGCTTGTCCTGAGAAAGGAAATATAGTTCTCACATCTGGAAGCTCCCCTCTGTCTAAGCTCTGCCGGTGCCAGGAAACAGCACAGCGTTAGAATCGACACTTTGACGAAGCACGCGATACTCTCGATGTCATCCTACTTGCTGTCGGCTCTGTCCAACACTGCTCGGCGTTTTTGATTTCCTCAGCATTAGTCTTGAGCGTGCTCCCCCGAGATGGCACAGCAGAACAGCGAGTGCACGTCCCTCGGGGCAAATGGGATGTTTTCCTGCATGACTGTTATGCAGTTCTTCTTTGTCTTGATCGAAATATTTGTTGAGTGCTGTGGGCGAGAGATACAGAGCTACCACGAGCAAGCCGTTGTCGACTTTGATGGCACACAATTTACCAACTTCGTCTGACGTGCCACAGAGATCGACGAGTACAGCACAGACCCGTACCCATGTAGATGGCTACTTGGATAACGAGTACATTACGTTTTCATACGTGCCTCTTATGGTTTATGAATGGTGATATCACTTGCCTGCACAACGGGTAGCTGGCATTTCCCCTTTTCCTCCTCCTTCTCTCCTCCTCCCACCTCCTCCTCTTCTTCTCCCCTCCTTCCTCCTCTCTTTTCTCTTCCTCCTCTTTTCCTCCTACTCCCCTCCTCTTCCTCCACCCTTTTCACGTCACAAGGGTCACTCGTGACCTTTGTGACGTCAAGAGTGATGTCCCTTGTGAAGGTCACTGTGAAAGTCGTGACCTTCGTTGTGACCTTCACGGGTGACCTTCGTGGCGTCACTCGTGACCTTCTTGACGTCACGTGTGACGTCATTATGGGAAATGTCCCATAATGCAACGCGCGGTTAATCCGACGGCGACGCCGCTCTAGCTAGAAACGGGCGGCAACCGCCAATGCTGCTTGATGATGTTTTGGAACAGGGTCTATGGCACGCTTGCAAGCGTGCTCCGAGAATGGCACCATGGCGGTACTGCTTGGCTAAATTTCTCATTTACAGCGTAAACCAGTGTCACCACATCTTAAAGGGGTCATGAAACGATATCGGGTTGGAATGTTCATGACTTCACAGAGGCGTACCGCTCCTAGTCTGGCCCAAGTATACCCGCACAGCCCGCCGCTGATTCAGGAGCTTCTTGGTCGTGGTGAAATTGTGAGGATAAAAGGGGACTATTTCTTTCAGTCTTACCTACGCAAAGCCTGATGAGGTAATTGTGGGATCGAAACCATCCGCCTGATGACCGTCGATCGTGGCGTGTGGATTGGACACGAGAACTGCGTGAGCACTCAACTTCGTATCATAACAATAAGTGCCTCGGCGGACGCTCGGGTAGGGGCTCGTGTCCAACCAATGCGGTGATGAGAAGAGCCTAACTTCAACAATGCCTGGAGCTCAGCACGTGTTTCTTACTTTGGCGACACCACCGCGTGGCTCTGATTAGCGTTGGCGGCATAGGATAAGCATTAGGCCACGTGGCCGTTTGTCCTGGCCCCAAGATGAGGGTATGAACGATACTCATATTTCTCGAATTTATTTGCCGACTTCCGTTGCGTAGAAATCAAAACTAAGGCAAGTTTATTCGGTTATTAACGTTAAAGAGTGACTCGTAGTTGTGTTTAATGAAAGTTGAAAAATCGTTTCATGGCCCCTTTGAAGACAGGGCCGGCACTGTACAAACAACTACGTCAAATTAGTATTTTGGTTGGGTGGTATGCCTCGTTGTCGAGCCGTAAATTAGTACCCTCGCGATAATTAAATGGAGGCGTGGCAAACAGTAATGTACGTATGCGATCGTCTCAAGAGTTTGTGGAGCTGACTAACACAAACCCATGGCATCAGCACGCGCTTTGGTAGCAACGCGGATACGAAGTTCTCGTCCGCTTTCACACCTGTGACTTCCAAAGAGCTGCGACCGACATGCGATACGCGGTATCAGCGTTAATGCAACGCAACCAGTGCTGAGAAATCCGTGGGCTGATTTACAGGGCGGTCGTCCACCTGCCGACTTTCTATTCTTGTGAATATTTTCGGCAAAACTCACAAAAGGTGGCTGGTTATATACACTTTATTTCCACAGAGGATTTTTTTAAATAGAGAATTCGGGTAATGTACAGTTCTCACAAACTTATCCGGAACGAGCGAGCAGCGTCGTATCTAATAGGAGCGCTACCCTGGCGGCAGCTGAAGAACTGCACCATGACGTAGCGCTGAATAGAACAGTCCGAGCAAGGGAGGCCGCTCGCTCGAGGCCTAAGCCGCTGCTGAACCGGAGACAACGCAGCAAATTTGCCGGTGATTCACTTATATTTTTCGCCTCATTCGGTACAAGCATTGAGTGCTGCTAACTGATTGAATCGTTCAATCGTAGACTGTTTCGACAGACACCTATGCATCTTTGAGCCAAAAGGTAGAGATAAGTATAGATTGACCGGCCGCCAAAATTGCTGCGGCGTCCGAGTCTAGCGAGCCGCCTTTCCGGCTTGGAGTGTTTTATTAAGCGCTACGTAATGAAGCAGTTCTTCAGCCGCCACCAAGATAGCCCTCCCATGAGATCAGACACTGTTCGTGCGTTCCGAATAAGTTTGGCGACCACTGTGCCTTCTCGTTTGAAGGTCCTTTTGTCCCCGATTGATTGGAAATACGTTATTACTTTTGAAATACGATCGCTAATGATTCATGATTCTCGGAAAAACACATATTTCACGTGCTTGTGGGCCTTATAGTATTCAGATTTTTTTAGCGTATAGTCTGTAAGCGGAAACTACGTTGAAACCCTCAACTCTTCGTCGGGTGTTTTGTTGGGGTGGCCTTTCATTCAGGAGCATGCAGCTCCTTCTATCTCAAGAAAAACGCCCACTGCTGGTTTAAGGTTTTTTTTAAACAATATATCCAACAAAGCTTCCTTTTTTATAGTTTCGCATCAGTTCCTGGTATTTGATAGTTATTTTATTTATTTAAATCATACTAAAGAGAAAATCGATGACCGAAGTTTAAATGATAAAAAAAAAATGCTCCGATCGAGCAATCCCACTTGCACACATGCAAACAAGAGTGACAAACAAACAGCAATATAACACACACGTGACACGTGTACGTGTGCTCGACATGCTCGGGAGCTTTCTTTTGTAAACGGTCCCGAAAGCATTGTTCTTCGTGAATTTCTACGAAGACCATCTGCAAAACGGGTTTTAGTACTTCGGTATACTTTGCCTTCTATACAGCACTCATGAGGTGAAGCCAACGTCACTCCGCTCCTGCAGCATCACACATGGACGTGCTTTTGCTACGTCAACCATGCACGTGCTTTCGCCACGTCAACCTTGTCACTATTGTTGAGTAATCAAATTTATTATGGGTACGTTACGACGACGGGAGTTTCGTGTGGGCTAAAACGACGTCTCCGCCATAGATAAGCAATTTAGCCAGTACAGTACTCGGATAAACTTCGTTCAAAGGTAGTCTGACATCGACATGTTCTTGTAAATAACATTAAGAAGTATAATGAAAAAGTGAGGCACTTCGGTCGTTCATTGTGCCTGAAGCATTATGACTTTAACGACGTGATTATATCCAGCGCAACAATGAGAGCACAAATGGCAGGCGTAAGCCCACCAGCGTGTATACGTCGGCCGGCGCTTGCGCGTGCTTAAATGTGTGCGTGTGTGTGTTCTTCTTTGTTTGTAAGTGTAAGTGTAAAGGCGGAGCGTTCAAATTGTACGGGGGTGAACGAACGGTTTATGTAATAGAAATAAAATATTTTATTAAAGGGGCACTGACACCCCAAAGGTCGTATTCTTTTTTATTGTCGAAAACGATGCAAATTATAATCATAGACATGCAAAAAAAAAAAAAAAACGCATCGCGAAAAAAAATTTCTTTGCGCCGCGCCTTTTTATTTTTGGCGTTTATATTTCCCGCGCTCACCTCCTTGCTTCTTTTGATCGGGGACGTCAAAAATCAGGAAATCTAGAAGCTTTGTAGGCGACATTGCTATAACATTTAATAACGGCAATCGTAAAACATGTTTTTTAACGCAATGACGAACGCACTACGGCCTTTCTTTTTGAAATACCAAAAGTCAGATTTGGGTGTGATGTCGCGTCCTGAATTTGTGTTCTCCCTCGGAAAACATTGCGGCGCTCGAGCGAGTCGGGGAAGAAACCGGTTTTTCCCCGTGCCGGCTCCCTTCTATCCCGCCTGCTGACCTCCTCCTCTCTTCGGGTCGCGGTAGCAACGGCGCTTTGCTTCACAGCGTGGTGCGGAGGTCCGAAAGAAAGTCGAGTCGCAGGAGACCGCAAAATTTGACTCACTGCACTGGCGCGGATCGCGCGGGAACTTCAAATTCGGCATTTGGAAATTGTTTTTTTAATTCACAAATACTGAATTCCCAAGTTTCGAATTTTGAGGGTAATGTCCCGGCATCATTTTCAATTGTTTCGGATAATAAAATAAATTATGATTTTGATGCGTCAGTGCCCCTTTAAAGGGAAATACGATGGTAACTTGCTAAAAAATGCATCAGCGTTAATACCTACAAAAAAAAAGTAAATTATTTTTGCGATTTTAAAAGGGTTCGTAAAAATCGACTAATCAACGCAATGTCACGTTAAAATAATAATAATAATATTATTAATAATAATAAATTTCAAAATGTTGAGAACCTGTGTCTTTGTTACGTACACGAGGACGAGCAACTCAATGGAGCGTAGGTTACTCAACTGTAAGGGTGGGATGGTAGATAACCAGATCTTCGACATCGGAGCGGTACTTCAACTTGAGCTTGAAGGTTTGCCTGTAAGGTCAAAAACATGATCTTAGCAAACTTCAACGTAATGCCGCGTAGCGTCGCTTTGAACATGACTCGAATCTAGACTCCTCCTTCGGCAAATAGAGATTTTTCAAGCCTTGCACCATTCAGAGTAGCCCTTGGCGCAAATTTATGAGTCAGATTTCGAAAAGGCAACACCTACTTTCTGTCTTGAACGGAAACCTGAAAGAAAAAAAGAAAAAGTTGTTTTCATCCTGTTCAATAAAGTAAACAAAAAATGTATTTTTAATTTTTTTACATCTTATTTTAGAAACGGAACAAGAACGTAACAATACTCATACCTCGTCGTCAGAAATGCTGGACATCCGTACGTCATAGTGGACTTGCCTGGAAAGAAATAGTAAGATCAGTTTCTCCGTGCTCTCATCCACGGTCACGGACAGCTGAGGAAGTGAGGGGCATACATGACGAGCTCTGAACAGCTTATTGTCGTGCCAATAAAATAGCCGAATAGCAGAGAAAAGCAAAAAAAAAAAAACTATCCAGGAGTCGGAACATGAAGCGTGACCATCATTAGCATCGCCCGGCATTTCCTAGGCGGTGGGTGACTTTATCCCGAAAAATCCGCAAAGGGCCGAGGAAGCCACAAGTGGGAGAGCGATGAAAGTCACTTTCGTACCAATTTTAGTGACGGACAAATCGGGAGAAAATTTGATAGAGGTAAACAAAAAGAGGGTTATAAGGGCATTCACTCCTCCTCTTCAACTGCTAACGTTAAACTCCCACTTCAATACATTTGGCAACGCTGCGCGCATCAATACTCGTTTTCACCTAAAAAAAAAGGAAGTCTTGCGCATTGCTTATACGCCGCACGAATTATTTCTTAAGATTTGGCTGTCGTAGAAAGTAGCGGTTTTCTTGGCGTTTGAAACGTGTAAGTCTTGGTAAGATAACGCGTTGTATGTAATCTAAAATCTAAAATTAAAATCTACATATATCTTAATTCCCAACTTAAAGGGGCCCTTCAATCATATTTAAGCGTTTACCTTTTTTTTGCGGTTTCCACGTCTCTTGGGGTTCGGGCAAGCCAGCGGGCTCGGAGGGAGTAACTAGATATCAGTGCGTTATATTTTAAACGAACGACGCGGAAACTTTTTCCACCAACGGGGCGACCCGCGGTGCCGAAAGCGCGCAAAATGTGAAATCTTTGGTCCCGGGCTTACTCCTGGTCAGAGCGCTGAAAGCTTGTTTTCAGTAGCAATATAAAATATAAGTGGCTCGAACCGTTTCAATTATGTATAAAAGTAGTTTTTGTTCCGTATTTTATATCAGAAAATAAACAAATGCAGTTTATAAAGTACGGAAACAAGAGATGACCCGTTGACATACCCGCCACCAAGCGGTGGAAAAGGCGGCGCATACTAGAAAGGGCTAGTGGGATCAGGCACCGACGTGCAGCGAGCGTAGAGAGGTCCCGGATGTACGCGGCAGCGCTGAGGTCGTATAAGGACTCAAGGATCCGACCGGTTCCGAGCGTTCCGAGCGAGAAGGTTTGGCTTGCGGTTTGGCCGTTTGGTGGTATGGCAGCGCGAAGTGGCTCCTGCTCTGAACTGATCTTTACCCCGTGTTTGCTGTCGTTCGTGGTCAGTGGAGTGTCCTGCCGAATTAGTGTTTAATCGCGCAGCAAATGCAATGCGAGCCACCCTGGCTGCCCGCTCATACAGCCTATCCAGAACATGCTTTAGTGGCGCCCTCTCGAGCCGTCGACATGGAGTGCGGCAACCGTGAGCGCTCACTGAGCTCACTACCCCTCCTCTAGTTCACGGCCCCTCAAGCGACCAAGGACATCATGAAGGAGGTTATTTTTTGCTTGTTTTTGTAATTTTAATTTGCCCATAACTTTTAAAATAAAGCTAAATTCGAGAAAAGAAAAGTTTTATTAAGTGACTGGTTAGGAAATTTTATTTACAACATTGGTGTCATTACGTTCAGTGCGCTCAGGTTCGGTGCAAATTAAAATTTGAACGACGTTTGAACGACTATAACTTTTGAGTTCATTATGAGCTTCGATTTTGATGGTTGTTTTGAGATTCGCCCCCAGTTTTTGTTAAGTTGAGCTGACGTACACTCACTCGCAAGGCAACGTGCAGGAGCGCTTGCACTCGTCGTAGGAGCCATTTCCCATGAGAGCGTTGTAGCAGGTGTCTGCAAACGGGACGTTGCAGCAATGTAGTAACTGCGTAGTAATTCTGTCTCGTTGAAGTACCTCTTTAGCAATGTAGTAGATGGTATTTGGCTTCTGTGCAAGAATACGTGATTTACTGACTCGACAAGTGACGTTTTTGGGGAAAGAAGTATTGGTAAAGGATACGAAGGAAGCATTTTTTTTTGTTGCTTTTGAGTTTTGAATACGTAGATGGGTAAGTTATACGATTGGCATGTTCTATAAGTGGCTGTACAAAACAACATCACCATTCCTCGACGCTTAGGACGACATGTTGGATTAAACGTACTGAACAACTAGAGAAAAAGGGCAGTTTAATTTTATTGTAATCGTGACTGCCATAGGCAGTATGCATTACTTGTTCCGGCGTTTTCTGTGTCGTTCGCGATTAAAAATACAAAATATATATATCGTTTTCGTGTATTTAGGGTTTTTCTTTTTTCAGAGTTGTTAGATCGTTATGCTTTCATGATAAGATTTTATGTTCGCAATATATTTTCTCGATCAAAGCAATATTTGTGGTTGCGGCTCAGCAGAAGAACAACAACAAACAAATATTTTAAGGAAGCATGACACCTCTTTATATTTTACATTTTAGTCATTTTTGCCGCGGTGTTAAAGCTCGGATATACTCCAATGACCATCCGATAGACTTCGCCTTTTTGTTCCAGAAATCAATAATATTTGCGGCGTTATTTTTTTCAATCGCGCAAACTTCAAGACACAAGGTGTAGGCCTCGTTTTTCTGTATTTGTTTAAAGGTGATAACGTAATCAACATGCTCCAGAAAGTAAAAAGTAAACGCGATTTTTGATCGTGCAATCCGTGCGGTAAATGTGTCGCTTTTTAGTATTTGTTTTTAGTACAAGTTAGAGCCGTAAAAAACGACACTTAGAAGAACCTCTTCGGTGAATTTTTAACGTGTTTCGCAAGCCTTTCTAGCCAGCGTAATATTAATACTTTAGAATACTCATAAACAATGAACTTATATTTAATATTTATTCACACACCTCCGTTTGGTAGCAACCGAGTGCGTTGTGCAGACTTAAGCGCGAAACACATGTACGACGAAACCTTCCGATCCGACGTGCGGACTGCCGGAATGACCTTGAGGGGAGAGGGTTTTCGTAGCATCGGAAAGCGTTGAAAACCCTCGCCATCGACCGTCGTATTGCGCGGTCGGACGTCGGATCGGACGGTTTCGTCGTACATGTGTTTCGCGCTTTATGCTTCATTGTGATCGCTTGCGACGAGAGAACCCAATGGCGCCATCTATCGAGCACTTGCGATCTGCGTATACTCCCTGATTTCTTCTAATCCTTTTTTTTTACGCGTCATTCTGTTACTATGGGCTTGAAAAAATTTTGACAATGTTATAAACGACCATTTTTCATAGGCTGTATGAACATTTAATCCTGCCCATACTTTGTAAACGTTACTCTAGTTAAATGCAGTTTCCGGGGCTAGCTCATAGATGGCGCCAGCGTGCCAGTCGTAAGATGTCACAAGAACTCGGTCCTAAGCAAACGCGAGTGTGTGAATCAGTCTCCCTGCACAAGAGCCAACAGTGAGTTTAAGGGTTTAGAACACTGAAGCCATATTATTCTAACAGGCTGCGCTATTATTACTAAGCGAATTTGTATTCGCGTGCTGAAATGAGCGTGCGACTTCCTTGCACTGCGCATGCTTTGCATGAAGCTGTACTGCATTCATTCCAGGGGTTTCCCCAGGAATTGAAATCAGGGGGGGTGTCTAAATTTTTTTTTTTTTTTGAGGGGGGGGGGGGGGGGTTAAAGGGGGGACATTGCGAATATAGGAGTCGTTGTGAATTAAGGGGGTGCCTTCGGAAAAACGAGGGGGGGGGGGGGGTCCTAACCCCCCTAGGGGGGGTCTAGGGAAATCCCTGATTCATTCTTTTGTTCTCTCTTTTTTTTTTACCGTAGAAAGTCGATTTGTGGGGATCACCTGTAGGACCGAAATCGCACGTTGGGGCCGGGTAGCTGGCGGTGAACTCGTAATCTGCCAGCACGCAGCCGCAGTGTCGCACCTCGAGTTCCATGCTGCACTTCTGCATGCAGAGCTGCGCCACGGTATAGGAAAAATAGAAATAGCGGTTAATTTACGCGCACGCGCACGCATTGGGCGCAGCGGTACCTATACATCATCCAAAATGCATTCATGCTTTGATTAAATTTTATTTCTTTAATCATCACGAAACTCCTGTAACTTTTGTTAATGCAGAGTTGCGTTCGTATTGAAGCTATAACCCCGATTTAGACTCGAAACGTGAAGCGTGCCATGGTCGAAGAGGTATGGCGTGTTGGCAAACACCCGTGCCGCGAGCTCCGCCGGCCCCACAAGCAACTGTGAAAGACAAGAAAAAAAAAAAAAAAAAGAGAAGAAAACCGAGGAGGTGGGAGAGAGGACTTCGAGACGCTTCAAGAAGACTTTGCCCGCTGCGAAAGCTTCGAAGCGTTAGCGTCCGCTGCGTTCCTCATAAAGCGCATTTTTGCGTGCATATGAAGGCTTGAAACGAAGCTGCGAATATTTCCCGTTAATCCTGACATTTTTATGTTTTGTACTTTTTTCCGTTATTATGTGTTTCGGTTAAAAAAAAAGTATTCGCGCCTGTGGCTGTGTACGCGCAGGCTGCGAAAGCACGTTCGACGTGGCAATGCGCAGAGAAAGTGAGGGAGATGATAAGACGAGAGCGCGCGGAGAAGTCAGAACGCCGAGCCCTGGTTCGAATGATTAGGGGGTACATGAAAAGCTAGCTTTCTTTGTCTCCACTGCACTCGTCGAGCGCGTTCGAATGCGAAAGCCCAACTCCGGACAGTGGCGTTCCGCGTTCTAACGCATCGACGAATACAGCGGAGACAAAGGCTGCTAGCTTTAAAAGGTCTACCCACTAATCGTTCCAACCAGCGCTCGGCGTTCAGAGGTCCCCAAGCTCTCTCGTCTTCTCCTGTCTCTCACCTTTTCGGCGTATAAGCGTTCGCTTCCTGATTTCGCCATAGCACTCGGAACTTTCTTAACCTCTAGTTTTCCTTTCGACTCTTTTTTTTTTTAATACATATAGTTATCGCTGATGAGTAGAGGTCGATTTCTCTAGAGATGGAGAAATGTCTGGTTTTACTGACAAGTTCCTCATATACATAGAGGTTTATTTGACCGGTGGTGAAGCGCTGCCTTTTTGGCGGTTAATACTAGGGTTCCGCGTTTTTGGTAAATACCGATAAATGTCGAAAATTAGCCACCAGACCGGTTTTATCAAAATCGGGGAAAAAACAAACAAACAAAACAAACAAATCCGAGTTGGCCTTTAATATGAAAATATCCGAGCTTCTTGACGAGAAAAACTTTGCCCACAGTTTTATTTTTGTGTTAACCCCGAACACAGCCGCCACTAAACTGTCTGCGAGGCCGCTTTTTTCTTCCAAAAACGCCCCTTTTCTGGCGTCGTTTCCCGGTTGGCCTCGGGGCGTTTTCCAAGCATTTGGGTCCTTCGAACGATTCATCTAAGTCATCACAAGACCTCTGTTCTTCGATAAATGCCAAAATTTCATTTCACGCAAAAAGAAAGAAAAAAAGTACACCAAAAGCATTGAATGACTGAAAAAAAAAAAAATAATACCCGAAAATGCACCCGCGAATCGGAAGAAAAATAAACCCCGGATTCACGGAACCCTAATTATGATGCGTCCCAAACATAAGAAGAAAACAAGATTTCTCATTATTTTGATGGCTTTGCGTGGCCAACGTAAACAAGGCAAGTTCGTTATCGTTTTTTTTTTTTTTTTATTTGTGACCATGTCTCGGGTATTTAGGGTAAGCAATTAATGATATAACTCAAGGGGTAATAACAAGTTAGTAAAGTATATAGACAAAGTTTAGCATCAAAAGTGGCCGGTTTTGTTAAAACGTGCTTATTCTGAAAAATCTCGTTATTGTCCTTTGTGAGGAAATGGAAGGTAAGGGTGCGAACCCCAGAGGGGTGAATGCAATCTGTTGAAAACTGAATGCCTAGATTGAATGAACTTTAAGGAATACTTGCGTCGTGATTGAGGAATCCCTTGAACTCCGGGAAGGATCCCATGCTCTTGTAGTCTGTGCACATGCTCTTGTACGGCGATGGCAGTCTGATTGTTCGCAGCTGGACGGGCACGGAAAAGGCAAGCAAGTTTTAACCTCGCACTAGTATGAGCAAGCTAGGTTTCAAGATTTACGTTATAGGGGGCTCGAAATAAAACTGCTGTTAAGTACGCGCGTCACCAATACTGCCCGATGCGCGTTAAAAGACCCCAGGTTAACAGTCGCGTACTGATTTTCTCGTTGCGTTACTAAAGTCGGATAAATCAAACATAATTTTAAGGTACACAAACTTTCCGATTAATATGTGTGTATATAATTTATTTACGGCATTTTATAAACGCGAAAGTACGTTTTCTTTTCTCTCTCTCTTTCTTTGTTTTACCTTTTACGTCATTACATTTTCTCTCGTTCCGCGAAAAAAAGGAAGCTTAAACCTCCGCGCTCAGACTAGCCGATGTAAATTGTTTCGCTGACGAAATTGGAAGAGCATCGTAGGCTTGCCTACGCATGAATATCGCAAGCTGCCTAATGCGCAGGAGAGGTTCTAAAGCGTCTCCCATAAAAAGCTGTTGCAAGTTTTTTTTTGTTTGTATACACAGATGCAAGAAAGAATGTTTGTACACTCAGATAGACTTCAAGGAAGCCTAACAATGGCCGGACAGTGCCTCGGTGCTTGATTGTATCAGTGTGAATACATTTGTCGTATCGAGTGCCTTTAGCGCGTCCGTAGGACAAAACATGGCCACTAAAATGGCATCACAGCATCGGTCAATTGCTACACGCTCGCACCGAGCAAAGCCGTCTGGGCCGGCTCGCTTGTGAATGTGGGTATCTCTGTCGTTAGCTAATTTAGCCGAAATGGGGTTTTTAAGGTCACGCGACTGGCTTCGTGGGAGAAAGTACAGGGTGTCCTCCCCAAAAATGTACCAGGTCTGTTGCACCGTAAAAATAAACTACGCATTGGCGAACGCTAATTCTCCGCCCAAATGTAGCGTTAGGGGTCCGAACCATGATGCCAAAGTTCCAGAATTAACCGTTCTTTCAAACAAAAGTTATAAGTGATTTTCTAAGACACTTAATGAAAAAATGGTGGCCGACGGAGCTTTCGAACACATGGAGCTTTATGGCGCCAGTTACCGAAACCTGGCGAAAATTTACCCCATATTCCCATTCAAACTTCAAGAAAACCACCTGTAGCTTTTGAATAAGATAATGGTTAGCGCTGACAGATTGGCATCTAGTTCAGACCGCTAGCGCTACATTTGGGTGCAGACCGAGAGTTCGGCGATGCCTAGTCTATTTTTGCTGCTAAGATAAACAACTGTAGATTATTTTTTTTTATTTTTGTTTCGCGACACGTTGTATTTAGTTTTCCGGCCGAATGCGCTCAGCGGAGGTATGCCTTGCCTGACATATTCTTTAGTGTCAGCTTAACACCATCTTCCTCGTACATAAATTGACATTCCGTTCCCGAACTACACTAATGCGATTGGTTGCACTTGTATTTCAACTCTTAAGCGTGTTCATTCTCTTTCCGCGGGCAGAATCGGATTTTAGTTATCTAATCGAGGACGGACTTTGGGCATGCAGCCATTTGCCTTGAACGCTAGGCACCCTTACTTTCTGGTCTCCACGAACCCCCGACGGCCTCAAATCCACCTTGCGGCTATTTTAACCACCGGGGGAGGTGCCCGCATTCAGCAGAAGACAGCCCCTGGTTGTAGAAACTCCTGCCGTAGTTCGTTTCATCTTAGTCGACACCCGCCGAAAAAACTTGATTGCAGTCAAGACACATTTGAAGGTGGCAATCACCTTCAAATGTGTCTTGACTGCAATCAAGTTTTTTCGGCGGGTGTCGATAATTAAAAGGATAATCTCGCGATTGTGTTTCTTTCTGGGGTATCAACAAGTGAAGACTCGATTCCATTAACGAGCTCAATATCATCAACCATTGTTCAGCTACACCCATAGGGTTTCGTGTTTTCGAGGCTCATTTTTCTTCCAATTCGGGAGTGCTTTTAGGGAGTTTATTTTTCCAGCGGATTCGGCGTTTTTCGGTGACTTTGAATGCCGGACAAACATAGGTGTTTCTCGGGGCTCATGCGGGACAAAATAAGACACGGGCATATGATTCCCCTACCTCCGAGGCGCACGCGCCTGACCTGCATGAGTACTACCATAGATTCCTGTACTACATGGAAAACGTTCCGGTACCGATAAGAGAAGGCAACGGAACAATGGTCGTTGTTCTCCAAGTAAAAGGTAGTAGTACTTATCCTAGTAGTTATCTTTAATGATTCGAGTCTTTAATGAGTTAAATGACCGTAGCATGGAGGTAGCTCCGTGGACAGTTCACTGAGCGCCAACGCGTACAAGGAAGCTGTCGCTAAAAATTTCTTTCCGTTTAAGGGTTTCACGGTTTTCCCCTGTTTTTTATCAAACTGGCTCGGGGGTTAATCGAGGGTTTATCTGTAAGCGCGTACAAAAGACACAAAACCTTAGTCATATCTAGTGTTCTGTGTCCTCAGGGTTCATTTTTCTTCAAATTCGAGGGTGTTTTTCGGGGTTTATTTGTTTCCGCATACGCGGGGTGTTTCGGTGTGAATTTTTCGCGTAGGACAAAATTTCAAGGTTTATCAGGGTCTACGCTGGTGAAAATACGACACGGGCATGACATTTGACGAACTTTAGTGATCGTTATGCGTTATCTGAACCCTTGGAAAACAGCCTCGTACCGAAAAGAACAAGAAACGAGGTGCGCGATTCTGAAACATAACAGTCTCTTGGGTTAATTTTCGGGGTTTATCAGTATTTACTGAAAACACGGAACCTTAGTTATGACATATCTAATGAGGCGTGACGACCGAAAGAATGAAACGATAAGGGCGTAGGTGCCATGAAATACAAGTTCGCACACGCAGATATGTCAGACAGACCTGCTTGACGGTGACCTGGATGACTTTGCCCGGCAGCAAGACGACGGCGGGCAATTTGTCCGGGGGACAGTGACCCGTCTGGTGCACGAAGATGGGGTACGACCAGGCGGGAAGCAGCAGCATTGTGGACTCCTTGGACCATCGGTAGCGAAGCTCCAACTCTGGGACGACGCGCCGCAGAAAGGGTGATACTCGCTTTATTAAATTTGCCTAGAACTGCTGTGTTTTAAATAGGAATGGAAAAATAATTGATCAAATAACTTTCCTATTTATCATTTACTTTTTTTAATCGCCATCTATGATATTTAACCGATTTGAGATCTACGGTTGAAATGCCAGGAAGAAAACCGAAATGCTTTCTTGGGAACATTTATGCATATTAGAAGGCACCCACCGTTGTATTCCACAGTAAAACAGTTTCAGGTGACAATGCTGACTTCGACACAAGATTGGGCTGGAGGAAAAAGTTCTTTTTTACAATGGTAGAAAAAGAAACAAGGACGTGCACGTCTCTAACTCAGCTAATGTTTTTAATTAAGCACCCTTTGTATATACAAATCCACACCACCACAGAAATGCAGAACATCCTGTTTAAGGTCAACCCACAAACCATATATATTCACACCGAAAAAAACAACAAAAAAACAACAAAAAAAAACCGAAAAAGCACCACCATTTTTATGTGAATGAAAAAATTGTTAGTGTGCAGGCGAGCTGGTGTAAGTTATACATGATGATTGAAACCTGGGACTGTGGTCTCTGGTTTCAGTCATCATGTACAACAGTCTCAGGTTTCAATCATCATTTACAACTTTATATGTTGTGCTTTGTAGTTTGTGTGCCTCACTAGAAATCGCGTTACTTGGAGGTTGAAATGATTAATGCGGGTACATGATAAGCAATATAAAGAAACAAAGTAGTTTCTGCCTTTGTAATATTTCGGTGCTCGTGTTGTAGTCTAGAGCACCTGATGTAAACACGAATGAGCTACGAAACAAGCTGAGCCTTCCTTTCGTGCTGCTTTGGCTGTACACCGAAAGTGAATTTATTATTTATTTACGTCGATACTCGCTGTGCTGCTGAGCAATTATGCATGCTCATAACACGCAGGCAAAATAAAAACAAAATTTGACAAAACAATGGGGAGTGGTCTATGTCTAGTGATAGTACGGCGCTCCGAACGTGACCACGCGTATCCTCCTCACCCCACTTCGCCTGTTGAGGGCAGTCCTTGAATAGAGGATCGTCCTTTTGCATCGCGTTCACATCGATGGTGAAGCACTGTTGAGACGGAAGCCGGTAGTAGGTATTCTTGATTCTGCGAAAAGATTTAATATGCACCCTTTCAACTTAAGTCGCCATGTGACGTTTGTTTTACGCTAAAAGTCGAACGTGATAAGCAAAAACGTGAAGAGGATAAACATATTTTTTAAGGAAAGTACTGGCTTCTTGTAACTGCGTTTTCATGATTAATAGCACCTTTTCAAATCCCTATCAAGCAGCATTGGTGATCGCCATTTGTTAGTGACGAAACATGTGATTGGAGCCGAGTCCTCGCCGAACGCTGACTATAGGCACTCCTTTTTTTGTATTGGAGCTGAGCCGACCGCACTCCGAACGCTGCCGCAGCCCTCGTGTCTAACACCTGCTCAAGGTACGTGCCAAAGCAATGGAGGCTACTAGATGGGCGCGCACTTTCGAAAAGGGCCTGTTAATGTTGCAGTTCGGCGTATGTCGTCCTGCCCGAATTTAACCGAATCAGACATCGGAAACGCGCCCTTGCTCCCGGTTCCAGAAATTTTCGTCCACTTTCATTTGTTTACTTCAGCTCTTTGTGCCTACGAAATCCGTACCTGGATAATATTCCTGCTACACGTTTTCTTTTTTTAGTTTTTTTTTTACAACGGAGCTGTTAAGGGTTAGTTCCCCCAGGATCGTGTCCCCCGCAAGAAATAAGGACACCGAACTCTGGACACCTACCGCCATCTATGGGCGACGGCGGCAAGGCACGTATCTGGTTGCGGCCGTCACTCATAGATGGCGGCAGCCTTTCCACTCTGGCTTGCCGAGTTGCGGCCGGCCATTGCTTTCCATTATACAGCTCCGCTGGTCTTCCTTCTTCACCAGAGTGGAGAGGCTGAAAGTGTTTTAGTTAGATCCATTACGCAGTACTAGCCATCACAGAAATGTGCTCAATATACCTTTTGCTAAATTAACCAAGCACCACGGAGCATTCTGCGAGTGTAGTTTCACGCGTTGCACGTGCTGGTGTCTGCAGAAGCATAGCTTCCTTTAAGCTTACAAAGCCTGGCAGATCGCCATGGGACGCGGCCGCCGAAATTGAAAAGGTAGAGGGGCCGACAACAGATGAGAGGAGAGCCAGGTGACGGGCGCCCCGCTGCAGGGAGATGCCGAAACACACTTCTCCCAAGCGATGAAATGTCCGCTCGTGCTCCTCGCGTTCTTCGCTCTACAGCTTCTTTTCTCGTCGGGTTTGAAAACTGTGTTTTGGGCCCTTGCCGCTGCAAAAGCTGTGCGCGGACGCCCAGGTTTACCGAGAAATGCTCTGTGCTACCAGATCCTCGCGCTCCAAATCTGCGACCGGGCACTGTATGACTCCGTCGTCCAGCTGCCAGGCTTTGTCTGTCAGGCCCTAAAACAGATACCGTGGACCTACAATTTTAGCATTCTTTAGGGTGCTTGGGTAATTTAACAATATATCTATTACAACATTCGTCGATACAATAATGCGCGTGAGTAGAAATTGAATTCGTGGGTTTTGAGTGCATGTGTCGCGAGCATTTCCCCCCGTGGGGTCTAAAGGCCCCTACGCACAGTTGCGTTTGAGAGTGCTTTAGTGCCTTTGACAGCGTTGCGGCTGCGAGAAACCAGGAGATCCCTGCTTCTTATGTTGCATGCCAAGATGATTTCTTGAATTGGATTCCACGCTTCATACGAAGCACAGATGGCCGGTGATTCGCTTTCATTTCTCGACGCAACGCAGTCAAACACTCTCAAACGCAACATTGCGTAAGGACCTTAACTGTGTCCGTAGGAATTTTATAGACCTGACATCAGCTAAACTGACAGACTGATATCATTTCATGCCAGTGTCCGAACTTCAGATAGCCTGAGTGGAAACAACCTGCGATACAGTGCGGCGCATTTTTTATGTCCCCTGACTTCTGCACTTACTACGCCGTGGTGCGCGTCTTGGGTCATCATTTAGGCTCTACAAGAGAAGTCGAGAGGGTGACGTAGATAAATGCACTAAAACTGTCTTCCACGGAGGAGACATCTATAGCCTTCAAGATCTGATGATCAGCAGCACTTTATCACTAAAGCTAGTTCACCCGTTTGCGTTTAACCGTGACCGAGTGCGTTGTGGTCTATTGTGGGCACTTACCATAAGATAACACATGCCGCATATCGGTGGAACACAGGGAATTCTCGAGAAAAGAGAACCTTGCTTTTTCGGCCCGGGTTAATGAACTATGCGTCGCAGAAAGCTCGAACTCCGTGAGAATGTGACGCTAAAGCGGTGGGGATAGAATACGAAAGTTTGAGAACATGACGTGTACCTTGGCCAAACGACAGTTGAGAAAAAAGATATTTCCTTATGGAGCCGACGTCCGCCTAAGCCTCTTACCGTCAAAACAAGAAGTGACATTGTGGGCGCCTGTAATATCTTTTGCAGTGAAAAAGCAAACGAACTTGACGTCATAAAAGTAAATAACGTTATTTTTTTTTTTGCTGATACGTGTTTTCAATCGATATAAGTCTGATAAGCGTCCACAATGCCAGTTCTTGTTTTCACAATATTAGGCTTAGGTGGACGTCGGCTCAGATAAATGTCGTCTCTCTCAGTTATCTTTTGATCGAGGTAACGTCGTGTTCTCAAACTTTCGTGTTCTATCCCAACCCCGCTAGCGTCACGTTCTCGCGGGGTTTGAGCGTTCAGCAATGATTAGTTTTTTTACGCGGGCTGATAATCATGGTTTTTTTGTCTCAGAAACGCTCGTCACACTACTTGCATGCTGGCGCCATCTGTAAGATGGCCCTGGAACTTCGTATAACTAGACTGAAGGTTTGGCAGTATTCGCGAGAACGAATGTACGGGCTATTTATAAGAAATAGTCGCTTATGACAATGTCAAAAAGTATTTGAAGCCCATGGTAAAAGAATTACTCGTAAAATGAAATGTGCGCAGATCGTAAATGTTCTGGGCTTATCCGATGGATGACGCCAGTATATGCCCGTGTGTTATTGAGTCAAAAGCGGTCACGTGCGGGCACAACCGCACCGTTTCACACTCAAAACAAAAATATGTAAACGAGCCTTTACTCTGTGCGCATGTCACAGGGACGTACAATAGACCATTTTCAAAAGTCCACCAAGCAACACTGGCGGTCGGCATTTCTTTAGACTTAGGCTAGGTGGCGCAAGCTACCGCACGCTACAATGGGTATAGCCATTAACATCCGTTCATCCATCTTGGGCACGAAGAGCGCGACTGGATCCGAGTCTGCCGAGCTCTGACGCAGCACCCGTTTAAATACGAGCTGAGCATGGTTCACGCCGAACGCCGGCTCAACCCACGTGCCCAGTACGCGCAAAGAGTACGTGCCCAAACAATGGTGGACTCGAATAATGGGCAATCTGCAAAACCAGAACGTCCCTAGCGGCTGAGGGGCATTCTGGGAAATAGCTGTCAACGAGGATCCGAGTTTCAGTTATCCCATCGTACCATGGCCAGCAGTGGACATTGCGGACCTCTGCCTAGCAGCCCACATCGGAGTAATGATAATAGTAATATATATTAAGGCGAAAGCCTTATATGTCTCATCATTCAGTCGACCTTCGGAAAGCACGTCGGCGACACGCAAGGTACCAAAACGAAAGGCAAGGATGAAAACGGCGCCAAAAGTGCGCTGTCAGAGAGCGCGCTGTCTTCGGAGGTTCGCTATCACCGAGACCACAGCTGACGCCACGATCCAAGTGAGCCAATGAAACGGCGCCAAAAGTGCGTCGTCAGAGAGCGCACAGTCTTTGGAGGTTCGCTATCACGTTTACGTGACCACTCAGGCAAATTAGAGGCAATGAAATTTAAAAGGATGACAAAGCGAACTAAGAGGAATCAAAGTGAATTAGACAAATCATGTGTCTGTCTTTAATGCATCGGCGCCTGGGCTTTCGCCTTCAAGTCGTTTTAAGGCCCGTTCACACTCTTGCAACCGAGTACGACCGAGAGAGACCAGACCGGTTTTTAAGCCTCTTGCGATCTTTTAGGACCAGCTCCGCTGCAGCCCATCCGGTCCTAAGAAGTCGCAAAAGGCTTAAAAACCGGTCTGGTCTCTCTCGGTCTTACTTGGTCGCAAGGGTGTGAACGGCGCTTTAGGGATAACATAAGATATATCCTGTGAATATTTTCGGTTCCGAAGAGCCGCGGCGCCGTCGAAAGACAAGTATCCCGTACCATGAAGACCTGCGGCGGCGCATCTAATAATCGTAATGTGATGAGATAGTGTACCGGGGACAGAGAGGTGCTGATGATGTTTAAATCGATCTTGTGGACAAGGGTGATGATCGTGAGGGGATCATGTTGTGGCTGATGACGGCCCAGTGGTGTTTAGTGTGCTGCTCGCTAGGCCGGTTTTCTGTCCAGCTGATCTCACGACTAGCAAAATGTGAGGGCGGGTGCCGTGGGATTTGCTGGCTGAATCCGGGACTTGTCCGGGGAAGTCCCCCGGGGTGATGTCCGGTGACTCCACCATGCGTCGGGGCCTTGGAACCATTCAGGGCATGGAGGTCCCGCCCCAGTCGGTCCCGATTCCTTCTCCGCAAACGCCCGCTACGTCCATACCTCTCTGATGGCCTGGTTACCCCTGCAGAGTGCAGAAAGACCCTCCCGGCTCCTGAATAATTTCAGAAGCCGAGAACATTGAAGAGTTGATACGACAGGATGACCGGTCCAGTATCGATCCACCAAGTACATCGCCGTAGTCTTCGTGGATTAATCTAGGATGGGCAAATGATGCAGTAGAAGAGCACGTTTCATCTCTAGACTCCATGAGACGGTGAGCTATTGAAGGCCAAAGCAAACCGAGTGGAAACAATGAAAGTGAAAAGTGATAAGAAAATTACGGCGTTCAAATTCCTCTGTCCGCTGCGCACCTTGTGCATTTGTTTACCTCCAAAAGCTCCCACGTGCTTTTGTCTCTCCCCGAACCCAACCAAATGCAGCGTTCGCTCGGTTGTCATGGTCACCGTGCGGCGCGTTCTCTGGGTTGCTCTATGATTGACGTGCTCGTCCTTGCGTTCCGATGCGCCGAAGATGCATCTTGGAATACTTGCTCGCGGTATAGGTTACGCGAGGACATTATGAAAGCCTGATGCTAATCTTGGTGCTGGCCTTCCTCGGACTCAGAGTCTATCGAAGTCGAAAAGAAGTACACAAAACGACTTGGTGTGTAAAACAGCAGCTCAGCTAAGCTTAGCTTTGTGGTTGTGGCGTGGATTGCTTTCGCATTGATGTTTAACGTTTAATGTAATCACGAGAAGAAGTGCATACTACTTTTACTATATTACTTGCAAATGTGCATTAATCCATGAAGAGTTATGGTGGGGTATACGCTGCCGTGATGTGCGAGGTACAGGTACGCGGGACCGACTGTTTGCCGTGGTACGGCGAAGGTAACCGAGACGCAATTCTTCTTTGACAGTTGCTTCCCAGATTGCCCAGGAGCCGCTAGCGTCGCTCGGGTTTTGCACATTGTCCATCGGCCCAGCAGCTACTACATGACGGGCACTTTTGAAAAGGGTCTATATACGGGTACCTATTGGCGCCTTCCGCGATATCGACGGCACCAAACGGCGAGAACAGAAGGCTCTCGCGGCCGGTTCGGTCGCCAGCGATCTCCAGCGAGTAAGATTTCAGAATACAAAGCCGTGAAAGCAGATTCGAAAACACGCGCCATTAAAATTGACAGCAGCGTGCGTGCGTACCCGGGTGTACAGTTGAATTCCGGGCACCGCGTGTCGCCCGCCGTCATCCGGCAGTCGAAGATATCTGGTGGCGAGAAAGTTGTGGCAGTCCTCAACTCTGGCATCGTCTGGGCGATATAAATGCCAGGGGCGAATACCTGAAATATCGGGCAGATTATATCGATGCAGATCGTTAGCCTCAAAAGGGGCACACACCCGACTTCCGTAGAATTTCAGCCTTCAGGCCGCAGCGAAGAATTTACTTCCACAGCACTGTCGTCATTGACAGCCTAAGAAACTCAGACCGCGGCGTGTCTTAAGACTCTCGCTGCGCAGCCAGTGAGACTGCCGCATTAGCCTATAAGAGCGCCGAAGAACTACCCATGAAGCAAGATATGATACGATATATTTATTTTAGCTCAGGAGAGCCTCGGCGCCACGGTAAGGCAAATCGCCTATGCGTTAGCATCTTAAGGCACGCCCTGCATATTTTAAGCTGCCAGTCGCTTTACACTCTAAAAAATATGGAGCATCTTTTTTTACTCGAGGCACCTGGCAAGGCCAGTAGCTGCAATCTACGGCAGAAGCTCGGAATATAAAGAGGCTGAAAAAAAAAAACAAGAAAAAAAAAAACAGTTTGCATTGTGGCATTCATACGCGTGAAACGTCATGCTCAGTGCTACAGCGCAGAGTCTCTGTTTCGGACTACACGGCGTGCAAGTTAGTCTGCTCCTTGCGCACCTCGTTCGTTAGTGCTTTTGTTTGCCTCCAACCGCAACCTATGACAGCGCGTGATTGGTTGTTCCGTCATTGTGCGTTCCCTATACGCGTCAGCTATGTTGTCCTTTGATTGGTGTGCCCCTCGCTGCGCTCCGATGCGCCAAAGACGCGTTTTGGAGCGCTTGCTGGCCGTATACTTCGCATGAGCTTAAGTCCAGACGCGGCCGACGCTACGAGTCTGGGACCAATCAGAGAGCGTCCAAAGAGCGTCATATTCTTCGTGCTTATGTGTGTGTTCCATGATCGCTGGACCAATCATAAGAAAAAAAAAAAAGAAAACGCCGGTCACTTGCGCTTTCGACACCGCTGGATTGGTCCCATTACCTCGTAGCTTCGGCTGCGTCTGGACTTAAGCTGAAACGAGTTATAATCATAATTCTAGTCTCGTCAGATGCCGAGCTCCCTCCTCAGGTTGCTGTGATTGGCTCTCGATCCCAAGTGCTTTCTGGGAAAGCAGACTCTTGATTTCCTAGGGCGTAAAGAACCCCAACTGTTAATAACTGGCTTGGCTGACAAGTTTGTTTTAATAAAGTTATCTGGTACATTTGACGAATAAATATAATTATCCCAGAGCGAAGTTGCAAAATATTAAAAATTGGGCTGAAAAACATAATGCACTTCAGGAACTCTTTCCCAAGTTAGAGATCACAACTTTTCACGGGGTTTTTACGACCTTTAGAAGAGGAAGAACAAAAAGTTGTCAATTCATTTACGTTGTGCTTTTTCACTTGTAAATTGTACCTTCGCATTCAACTGCCTTTGACACAAAATTTAAAAAAAAGTTAGGGACATTTGTGCAATCAAAGAGAAAATAAATGTGAAGTACGCGGTATAGCTTATTTCCTTGGCTTATTTTGCTTTCTTGCTCACTCAAAATTTGAGTTTGAACCTGTTGTTTGGAATTCCTTAAGTTGGCATGGAAGCTTTCCAGCTATGAAGTACTTGAACTTTTTCATCTTCGTATTGCAGTTCCTGAGCGAGCTCGGACGCGGGTCCCAACCTGATCGGCAGCATGACGACAACTTTGCTGCTTTCCGAATGCCAGTCAGCGTTCCACCCGCCGACACGTGTACCCCTGCTGCGGTGTCATCCACCGACGTGAACTGCCCCTGCATCGAAGCACTCAACCGATCACCATCATCTACGGCATCGACACCACCTGTGCCGCCTATAAGAGCCGACTTGGACGCGCTGCTCGCCAGTGGGCATGGAGGCTTTCCAGCTATGAAGTACTTGAACTTTTTCATCTTCGTATTGCAGTTCCTGAGCGAGCTCGGACGCGGGTCCCAACCTGATCGGCAGCATGACGACAACCTTGCTGCTTTCCGAGTGCCAGTCAGCGTTCCACCCGCCGACACGTGTACCCCTGCTGCGGTGTCATCCACCGACGTGAACTGCCTCTGCATCGAAGGACTCAACCGATCACCATCATCTACGGCATCGACACCACCTGTGCCGCCTATAAGAGCCGACTTGGACGCACTGCTCGCCAGCGGGCATGGAAGCTTTCCAGCTATGAAGTACTTGAACTTTTTCATCTTCGTATTGCAGTTCCTGAGCGACCTCGGACGCGGGTCCCAACCTGATCGGCAGCATGACGACAACCTTGCTGCTTTCCGAGTGCCAGTTAGCGTTCCACCCGCCGACACGTGTACCCCTGCTGCGGTGTCATCCACCGACGTGAACTGCCCCTGCATCGAAGGACTCAACTGATCACCATCATCTACGGCATCGACACCACCTGTGCCGCCTATAAGAGCCGACTTGGACGCGCTGCTCGCCAGTGGGCATGGAGGCTTTCCAGCTATGAAGTACTTGAACTTTTTCATCTGCGTATTGCAGTTCCTGAGCGAGCTCGGACGCGGGTCCCAACCTGATCGGCAGCATGACGACAACCTTGCTGCTTTCCGAGTGCCAGTCAGCGTTCCACCCGCCGACACGTGTACCCCTGCTGCGGTGTCATCCACCGACGTGAACTGCCCCTGCGTCGAAGGACTCAACCGATCACCATCATCTACGGCATCGACACCACCTGTGCCGCCTATAAGAGCCGACTTGGACGCGCTGCTCGCCAGTGGGCATGGAGGCTTTCCAGCTATGAAGTACTTGAACTTTTTCATCTGCGTATTGCAGTTCCTGAGCGAGCTCGGACGCGGGTCCCAACCTGATCGGCAGCATGACGACAACCTTGCTGCTTTCCGAGTGCCAGTCAGCGTTCCACCCGCCGACACGTGTACCCCTGCTGCGGTGTCATCCACCGACGTGAACTGCCCCTGCGTCGAAGGACTCAACCGATCACCATCATCTACGGCATCGACACCACCTGTGCCGCCTATAAGAGCCGACTTGGACGCGCTGCTCGCCAGTGGGCATGGAGGCTTTCCAGCTATGAAGTACTTGAACTTTTTCATCTGCGTATTGCAGTTCCTGAGCGAGCTCGGACGCGGGTCCCAACCTGATCGGCAGCATGACGACAACCTTGCTGCTTTCCGAGTGCCAGTCAGCGTTCCACCCGCCGACACGTGTACCCCTGCTGCGGTGTCATCCACCGACGTGAACTGCCCCTGCGTCGAAGGACTCAACCGATCACCATCATCTACGGCATCGACACCACCTGTGCCGCCTATAAGAGCCGACTTGGACGCGCTGCTCGCCAGTGGGCATGGAGGCTTTCCAGCTATGAAGTACTTGAACTTTTTCATCTGCGTATTGCAGTTCCTGAGCGAGCTCGGACGCGGGTCCCAACCTGATCGGCAGCATGACGACAACCTTGCTGCTTTCCGAGTGCCAGTCAGCGTTCCACCCGCCGACACGTGTACCCCTGCTGCGGTGTCATCCACCGACGTGAACTGCCCCTGCGTCGAAGGACTCAACCGATCACCATCATCTACGGCATCGACACCACCTGTGCCGCCTATAAGAGCCGACTTGGACGCGCTGCTCGCCAGTGGGCATGGAAGCTTTCCAGCTATGAAGTACTTGAACTTTTTCATCTGCGTATTGCAGTTCCTGAGCGAGCTCGGACGCGGGTCCCAACCTGATCGGCAGCATGACGACAACCTTGCTGCTTTCCGAGGGCCAGTCAGCGTTCCACCCGCCGACACGTGTACCCCTGCTGCGGTGTCATCCACCGACGTGAACTGCCCCTGCATCGAAGGACTCAACCGATCATCATCATCTACGGCATCGACACCACCTGTGCCGCCTATAAGAGCCGACTTGGACGCGCTGCTCGCCAGTGGGCATGGAGGCTTTCCAGCTATGAAGTACTTGACCTTTTTCATCTTCGTATTGCAGTTCCTGAGCGAGCTCGGACGCGGGTCCCAACCTGATCGGCAGCATGACGACAACCTTGCTGCTTTCCGAGTGCCAGTCAGCGTTCCACCCGCCGACACGTGTACCCCTGCTGCGGTGTCATCCACCGACGTGAACTGCCTCTGCATCGAAGGACTCAACCGATCACCATCATCTACGGCATCGACACCACCTGTGCCGCCTATAAGAGCCGACTTGGACGCGCTGCTCGCCAGTGGGCATGGAAGCTTTCCAGCTATGAAGTACTTGAACTTTTTCATCTTCGTATTGCAGTTCCTGAGCGAGCTCGGACGCGGAGCCCAACCTGATCGGCAGCATGACGACAACCTTGCTGCTTTCCGAGTGCCAGTCAGCGTTCCACCCGCCGACATGTGTACCCCTGCTGCGGTGTCATCCACCGACGTGAACTGCCCCTGCATCGAAGGACTCAACCGATCACCATCATCTACGGCATCGACACCACCTGTGCCGCCTATAAGAGCCGACTTGGACGCACTGCTCGCCAGCGGGCATGGAAGCTTTCCAGCTATGAAGTACTTGAACTTTTTCATCTTCGTATTGCAGTTCCTGAGCGACCTCGGACGCGGGTCCCAACCTGATCGGCAGCATGACGATAACCTTGCTGCTTTCCCAGTGCCAGTTAGCGTTCCACCCGCCGACACGTGTACCCCTGCTGCGGTGTCATCCACCGACGTGAACTGCCCCTGCATCGAAGGACTCAACTGATCACCATCATCTACGGCATCGACACCACCTGTGCCGCCTATAAGAGCCGACTTGGACGCGCTGCTCGCCAGTGGGCATGGAAGCTTTCCAGCTATGAAGTACTTGAACTTTTTCATCTTCGTATTGCAGGTTAATAAACAGAGATCATGTCATTGTTTCCGTTCTAATAATATTTGCCTTTTTAAGCTTCCATGCCCTGAAGCCTGCATTGAATCATTTAGAGTGTTGTTACTCCTTTTGTTCGGTGACGTAGAGAGAAATCCAGGCCCTATGTCAAAGGCTGAGGTTGAATTTGTGCAAGATCTCAACAACAATGACAACAATGTCCTAAAACTCGAGAGTATATTAACCTCACTTCAACAAGAAGTACTTGAACTCAAGGCAAAGCTAAAGCAAACCGATGAAACGCTCTTAGCGGTTTCCGAACAGAATACTCTGCTAACTAACGAACTGAGAGAAAGACTAAAACAAACCGATGAATCTCTTCTAACGGCTACAGGACAGAACGCTCAGTTAAATAACGACGTAGCTTCAATAAAGTTGAAGGAGAGGACGCTGCCACTAATGAAGAGCCTCAGTTATCGGCCCCTCTACGTGGTCTATCTAATCTAAAAACGCGCTGTGATGATGCGGAGGGCAGGTCCCGTAGATCAAGTCTGTTATTTTTCGGTCTCCCTGATATAGATAAGGAAACTTGGAATGAGTCTCAAGGTTTGGTCGTCGAACTGTGCTTCGAAAAACTCTGCATTCGTGTTAACCCAATCAGAATCGAAAGAGCGCATCGTTTGGGCTCCTTCAACGAACGAAAGTGTCGCCCAATTATTGTTAAGTTCTCTTCATTTAAAGAAAAAGAAAGTATAATGTCATCAGCATACAAACTAAAAAGCTCGCCTTTTGCTATCAGTGAGGATTTCCCGGTATGCGTCCGACTCGCGCGCCGCAAACTGCTTGAATTTGCCCGATCAAAGGGATTGCCCTTTAGACTTCGTCACGACAAGCTGTTGATGAATGACAAGTGCTTAATATCTGACACGGTGCAGAGTTTGGTTCGAGAAAAAAAACAGGCGTCTACGCCGCTTCCCTTTCTCGCCGCGCACCCATCGGGTTCTGTCGACCAGAGTCAAACGCAACTGTGATGTGCCCGTTGAGCATTCTGTACTGTTCACTAACATTAGAAGTTTCATACCTAAAAGGGAAGATGTGCACTCTTTGATTGATACATGCAACGCGGACTTTGTTTTTCTTACTGAAACATGGTTAAACCCTGCTATCGCTGACGCAGAATTGTTTCCTCCACATTTTGGTTTTCATGTTTACCGAACTGACCGCGTCGGAAAGAGAGGGGGTGGTGCTCTTTTAGCTGTGAATAAGCGTATCCCATCAAGGCTTATCTCGGTAGAAACAAGCCTGGAAATCGTCTGGGTATGCCTTACCTCTAAGCCAAGTATTATAATGGGTGTATGTTACAGGCCGCCAGATAGTGGTAAGGATTTCATTAATGAGCTTCATAAGTGTCTCTTTCAGCTTACATCCCTTTTTCCTAGTGCCACCCTTGTTCTTCTTGGAGACTTTAATTGCCCAGACATTGATTGGACTGCCCTCTCCTCCGGCAGTGCTTTTTCCGATGCTTTCGTAGACCTTTGCCTTGACTTTAATTTCTCCAACGTTATCACTCAACCAACCAGAACTACCAAAATCTGCAGCAATGTGCTGGACTTGTGCCTAACGCAAGAGCCAGACCTTATCAGTAATGTTACGTACTTACCCGGCATTAGTGACCATCTTGTTATCGAATTAACACTCTCCCTTACCACTCCTCACAAATCACGCTATACTAAACTCATCCGGAATTACGCGGGTGCCGACTATAGCTTTATCAACTCGCAACTGGAACACCTCTACGGCACGTTCTCCCACGATTTTGAGGAAAGATCTGTCAACGCTAACTGGACGCTGTGCAAAGATAAACTAATTAAACTTATTGAGTCTTTCATACCACTCACTCGTGTCATCTCTGATAACAACAATCCGTGGTATAACAAAACCATTCATAAGCACTCCAACAAAAAGAAAAGGCTTTATAGAGAGGCTAAGTGTTGCGACACACTGGAAGCCTGGAACAAATACCACGATTGTGCAACGGGATACAAAACAGCTATAAATGAAGCGAAAACTAAATTCTATACTTGGGACCTCTCCAACATTTTGGTCAACAAGCCAAATAAATTTTGGAAGATTATTAATCCTTCTACGTCGTCTCCCTTGCAATTCACTGACAAAAGCAATTGAGAACTTGAAGCTGTCTTCCAGCTCAGGGGATGACCAAACCGATTCGAAGGTTCTAATAAACACGAAACACATTTCTGAAGCTTTTTTTTTGTGAAATATTTTCCCAGTCAATTAAACTTTCTGAAATTCCGAGGGATTGGAAAACTAGAAACGTAACCCCTGTGTTCAAATCTGGTGACCGCCACCTAATTACAAACTATCGGCCCATCTCCCTAACTAGCGAATCATTTAAGCTCATGGAACACGTACTTTACTCCAATATAATCAATTATTTAGAAGATAACAACCTCCTTTTTAATCACCAACATGGTTTTCGGAAACCGTAGTCTTGCGAAACCCAACTAACGGCGTTTCTTCATGACATTCACGCAGGTTTTAATACCAACATTCAGACTGACGCCATTTTTCTCGACTTTTCTAAAGCGTTTGATAGGGTCCCTCATCAACGTCTTAAAATAAAACTTAACGAATTTAAAATCCATCCCACCATCGTAAATTGGATATCCGAATTCTTGACTAACCGCACCCAGTACACCACCATTAATAACTCTAAATCTCCCTCGTGCCCGGTAACCTCAGGCGTCCCTCAGGGTAGTGTACTCGGGCCCTTACTCTTTTTAATCTACATCAATGATATTCATGTGCACATCTCCTCATCAGTTCGTTTATTTGCAGACGAGTGCGTAATTTACAGGCCCATTCTCTCACTCGACGATCACCATACCTTGCAAACAGATATTTCAGAAGTCATTCAATGGTGCAATAAATGGCAGATGACTCTCAATTTCGACAAATGTAAATCCCTTTCCTTTTCTCGTCGTGCTCTTCAACCTTTTTCTTACCATTTTGACGCGTCCCCCATCAACGTTTGCAGTTCATATAAATATCTCGGTATTCATTTAACATCTGACTTTTCATGGACGTCTCACATCAGTAATATAGTAGCTAGCGCAAACCGTACCCTCGGTTTTTTGCACCGAAACCTGAAACCCGCAACACCAGAGATAAAACAATTAGCATACTCAGCTTTGGTTCGGTCTAAGCTTGAATTCGCTTCTTCTGTGTGGTGCCCTTGGCAATCTTACCTATCTAACAAACTTGAATCCATCCAAAACAGGGCTCTTCGTTTTATTTTTTCTGATTACTCACCATTCACGAGCATATCTGGATTGCGCGAAGCAGCTAACCTTCACACGCTTTCATTGAGGCGCCGAGTGTCCCGTCTCTCTCTCCTTCACCGAATCTTTCACCATGACATGCCTCTTCGTGAATCTCTGCTTTTACCCCCGTGGCAGATTTTCCCCCGCTTTGACCACTCCTGCAAGTTGCGGCCCATTTTTTCGTCAACTACTTCATACAGTAATTCAACTTTACCTTTGGCAATAAACGATTGGAACATACTACCAAATGACATTGTTACCATGACTGACACACATAAATTTGCTGCCTCTATAACCACTTTCATCTCTTCATTATCCGACTAGTTCCCTCTTCTATTGTGTTAAAATTGCGCGCGGAAGTGTTCGATTGAGAAAAATAATAACAAATGTACCACTCCCTTGTGTAATGCCCGTAAGGGCCTTCAAGGATAATAAATGATGATGATGATGATAATGCATCATTCTCTATCGAGCGAGTTCAAAATCGGTTTATCGCTGTTGTTGACAATCGATTCTTTAGACGTAAGTTGTACTATAGTTACAAAGGGTGCCTACGAAGTTCGATTTATATTCTCTGTTTGATAGACGACGTTATCGGGATATCTTATTTTTGTATCAGGTTGCGATTGGGATCGTCGACCCCCTCCCTGTCCTGCTAAGCTCGATTTGTTTCCATGCCCCATCACGTTTGAGCCGTAGCACAGCCTTTTTTACCTGCTCACATTTTTTGTACAATCACCGCTGATATGAATGCAAGCGGAATTTAACAGGATCGATTCTTCACGGCTAGACATGTTTACTGACATATCAACGTGTAGTCATAATCTCAAGGGCCTATTACTTGCATAGTTCGGTGAAGTCAAATTGTGCTTGCGCATGCTTTTTGCATTCAGCACATTTTCTTCTGTGTAGTTTAATTTTAATCTGTTTGCTTTCCTGTGTTATGTCCGAAAATGTGTTGTGTACCACGCAAAAGGCAATGAGCTGCTTGTGGACACATAAAATAAAGATTAATATTAATATTAATATTATAGTTCTCCACTGGATCTGTACTAACTCACAGCTTAAGAAATGGAAGGCATGGCGAGTTCCAAGCATCTTATTATCGCTCCCCAGCAAATGCGATTGCGGCATTAGCTGATGAGAACGAACGAGAAATCGCAACGAAAGAAACGTGAACGTAATAGGCGTGAGCGGGATAGGCGTGAGCATAATAGGCGTGACAAAAATAATCCACTTTAAAGCGTTTTTTTTTTTCGGGGGCAAAGTTATGTTTTGCTAAGCACCTTAGTTTAGACAAGAAATTGGAGCGTGCTCTTGACCACCCAGACACTCTGCTGGCTGTCATCAAGACCTGCATTGTTGTCGGTCCCCGACCTCCCGAAAACGAAAAAAGGGAGGAATCGACAAACAGGAGGCCAGAAGGAAAGCCGTGCTGTTTACGAGGTTGATGTCCTCACTGAAAAGAAAACGTACGCGCGCGCCACAACGTTCCCGTTTTTATTTTATTATTATTTTAACGCATACTTTCTTTTTTTGCAGTGCACAGCAGAAGTTGTGCTTTGTTGGACAGCATTGACACACTTGACGCGACGACTTCAGCTTACTAACATAATCCGTTAGACGCGTAGAACTTACCATGTCGTGCCTCGCACAACCATGTGGTCGATACTTGCAGAGTTTATCTTTGCTCAACCTAGAATAAACAGAACGTACCTGTATTGTCATCAAGGAGACAAAAAAAGGAAACTTTTAATACCTTCCTTTGCGTTGAGCAGGAAGATAGTGTTTAAATTTACATTGCACTATTAGACACTTCATTGACACACAATTATCAAGGTTGTTAGCGAGCCTGTGTTGTTCAATTGCGCGGACAGTTGACACACAAACTTGCTTGTTAGCCTTAGGGTATAGTTTCGCCCGACACGGCAAAGAGACACCAGAAAAATTTTTCGAATTAAAAAAAAAATGTAACGCGTGTTTCGCATAAGGACTCATCCTAAGCGAGTACAAAAAATCGTTGCGCTGCCCCTTTAGCCAGTTTTTTTCTCCTCAAAATAGAACCTTGGGCGTGTTGTAAGGGATGATGATTAAAACGTACAGTGCTAGTAGACGGGACAGATGAGAGAGTACACACAATCGCTGTACTTACAATTGAAGTTCAGTTGTTAAGGCACAGCCCTATATACGACGACCAAACAAGAAAAAGCACACACGCACCCAAAGACAAACACTAGATCGCAGCAGCATAATCGCGAATGCTGTCGACGTGCAAGGAATTCGAACTCTTTATCAGATAGCGAAACAGACGGGGCGCTTACATAATCTTCTTTTAGACGCGCAATCATGCCCGCTCCGATAATTTCTTTGGTCAGGGCATTCCCGCTTCCTCCAATGACTGAGCATTTTTTTTTTAAATCTGCATCACCAGTCACGACAGTGAATGCCCAAATGTCCTGATATCACACTGTTTACATTGTAATAGTGTTCTCTCAAACTAGCGTTCAGGCATCTGCCAGTCTGTCTACGTACTGTTTACCGCAGGAAAGCGGAATGGAATAAGCAACTTTTTTGTGTGTATGTATTCAACAAACCGATTGCGATGCTTCTTAGTTCAACCCAAAGAACCAAAGAAGGTAAGACAAACATTTCTGGAAAGATTACATAACTCGTTAGGAGCAGAAAAGATAACAGTGACGTCTACTTGCACACCTATTTTCGTTAATCTATGGGAAACTCTCTGCAAAAACGGCACCAGAGCAACTTTGATTATTTTTTCTTTGGGAACGTTTACCGCGTCTTCTGTTTTAATTTTTTTTTTCAATAATGGGCATGCGACCGACATTAGTAGGTGTTCCGGTTACTCTACTATCCGAAGGCGGGAAACTTGGCCGCAGGGGTTTCCCAGGAATTTAATATAGGGGGGGGGGGGGGGGGGGGGTGTTAGGGGGAGCATTGAGATTTGAGGAGTCGTTGCGAATTAAGGGGGTGCCTTCAGAAAAACAAGGGGGGGGGGGGTGTGTACCCCCCTATAGGGGGTGTGTAGGGGAATCACTGCTTGGGCGCCAAACCTAACTTGTGCCCGATGGGAACAGAATTTCCTTAAAGCTTTCGTGAAGCACAGATCCACGATGCACCTTTTTACCAGGTTGGAATGGGCAGATTCGTAGGATAAAAGTGGCTCCAGTCCACGAGGCTCGTACGACCAACAAACGCGTTCTTCTAAAAAGTGAAGACGGAGGTCGAGGAAACGTATGGACCCATTAGCAGAAAACTCGTGAGTTAAAATCAATAGGGCCAGACAGTCCCTAAAAACAGATAAATTATTTGACACCAAGTGGGGCAGTTCATGGTTTCTACTGCACAAGCAAGTCGACAACATATCTAAAACCTTTTACCACATTAGGATCGGCTAAAGTGGTAAAAATACCTCTGTCGTGATGAGCAAGGTATATGTGTAAGCATCCCGTCTGTTTCGTTATCTGGTAAAGAGTTAGAATTCCTTGCACGTCGACGGCATTCGCGATGTTGGTGCTGGGATCTAGTGCGTGCCCTTGGGTGCGTGTGTGCTTTGTCTTGTTTGGTCGTCGTATGTTGGGCTGTGCATTAACGATTAACCTTCAGCTATAAGTTAAGCGATTGTGTGTCCTCTCTCTCCTGTCCCGTCTGTTTGCTCTGTACGTTTTTACCCTCGGTTTCTCCTGCAAACATCCCGAGTTTTGATCGTTGTTGTCCCGCAGAGTAACGGAGGTTTGCCTACTGACACCCTCACTGCGCGTCTTGCTATTGCTAACTGCCCTTTGGCATGGCGTTTGAGTAGACTACTTACGGGGTGCTTACGTTGAGAGACGATTGCTAGTTACCATGACAGCTAAGCGCTGCCGCGCTTGTGGCCATGGTAATGATCGGCGCATCTCTTAGCTGTTAAAGTGAAAATCAAAACGGTTTTACGGGACAGTGGAATCATTTGTTTTCAAAAATCAGTGAAGGCAAAAAAGGAAACAATCGTTTTTCCCGACAATGTTAAGATACCTCGCGTCTATCCCACATTGTCCCTGCGCCTCGAGAAGAATTGTGGCGCTGTTCCGATGAAGGATCGGGCCAACGCGGGCGCTCCGGATATTTTGAAAGCGGCACGATTCATTCTTTCTTATGATTGTAAGTTCAGAATACATGAAAAATGAAGAGGACACAAAACAAGGTCATCACGTATTACGACTTCCCTTCTACCTTATTTTCTGCGTTCTAAAATAAAAAAATATACATACATATATAAATAATAACACAAATTTCTTACAAAAAGTTAGGGCGCAAACAAGCTGGTGAAAGTTTAACATATTGGTTTTTTATTAGACCAGCTGGTGAAGGTTTAACATATTGGTCTTTTATTATATTGAGACTTTTTGTTGTGTTCTCCTTTTTCCCCCAGTCTCGGGGTTTTGTCCAATATAAATTTCTTCTTCTACTCCTGGTAAATCTTCAACGTATAATGCATCCAGTAGACGGTGGGGGCACTAGATAATTCCGAAATGGTGTATTCTGACTCCGTCCGAAATTTTCATTTTATCCCGGGAATTTCTCACTTTAACGCAAAAAACGTTTTCCTTTTTTTTTTTTTGACCAAGATTTGTAAAAAAAGGTGCATTAAAGTTACGCGAAAGAAAACTTTTTTTGTGACTTGTTTAAAGTCAAATCAGTTTAATTTCCGCGCTAGCTGATAAGCAGGCAGCGCTGCATTGAGATCTTAAAAAACACGTCAATCTGTATTAAAACCTCTTTCCCAACATAAAAAAATGGCGTAAGGCAGATTTAATTGAGACTAATTACCATCCATCGACGCAGACTGTCACGGCTGGGAACTGGATGTTTTCACCTCGCTGACGCTCTTCTAGGGTAACGCTGACATTGTACTGGAAGTAGACACTCAGCACGCTGGACAGCTGGTACAGGAAGCAGAAGCCGCACACAGCTCCCACGAGTGCGTGCAGTCGCTTCATTTCGCTTCTGCGAACTGAAGAAACGACTGGAAAAAAGTGCTTGGAAACACCCCAACATTGAAGACAAGGCCTCCGGCGTGACGTCAGCATTCTTAGACCCCCCGACCCGCCCCGAGCGGCAAACACGCTAATGCTCGACGAGAGTATGCAGACGCCTGCGCCTTAGCATCCGCCGGTGTTGGCGTCGCGCTCGTTATGAGACGCTGCATAACACGCTGGCGCCGAATCGATGCGGACGCAAACTATGCGGAGCGCAAGTTCGTCTGCTTCTTTTACAGGGGTTCTGGTGACGTCTGAACGCTGAGCTCTGATTGGCTCCGATTCAAGTATAGTGGGCAGACCCCAAAGCAAGCTGCCTCGAGCTCCACCCAATGTCCTTGAATCAGAGCCAATCGGAGCTCGGCGTTCTGACGTCAACACAACCACCGCAAAAGACGCAGACCAAGTTGCGCTCCGCATAGGCGGCGCTAGGTGGATCGACTAGTGATGGCGACGTTTTCGGGAGAAAGGAACGGGCCTTGTGTTCTGGGCGGTATATTGCCCGAGCCCTGGAGACGTCTCTTGCAATCTATAACGGCAACCAAGCGGCCATGTCAACTGTCAGAGCTACGACGACGCGCACGAAGCTCATCATTGGTCTTGCGGCCTATAAAGGTCTCGAGTCGCGGCACATGTCTGAAGAAATATACGTAGGTTTTAAAGGCTAGTGTAACTTGGTATTTAATCGCTTTCCAATAAAGGAGCGTCCGCCTTCCGTTCGAATAAAGGGATCGATTCGGGCGGCTTGTGGTCAATACGGGATGTATATTTTTTTAAGACGTACACTTTCATTTTATTTTTGTTCCGCTACGCAAGGCCTTCAACTGTGCATTGAATGTTGTTTAAAAATAAATCGCCATACGAACTTTTACGGTACATCAGGCGTTTTTAGTAAAATATAAGCATGGGTTCGGACGCTGCTTCGTCATCTAGTAGGTGTTGGCTAAGCCTGCATAAATGCCCCTCATTTTATTGCGTTCAATCAGCCAGGAAAGTATGCTACTGTCACGATGCAAACGAATTTTTTTTAAGTGTATAAAAATTTTTGGGCACGTCGGAAGAGATAATTTCTCGAAAAAAAGCTTTTACGGGAAATCCTAGGAGACCTCGGCTAGGCAAATTATGGAATCGTGCCGGTGTACGCTCGTGCCGACTCAAACGCTTTGTATATTCTACAGGCGGCACGACTCATTCTCCTATCATTAAAACCCTGCCACACTGAGGCAACAGTTGAACGACTCTATCTGGCACCACGAGGAAATTGTGTTGCCGGCGACCCCGTCACATCACGGCAACAACAGCAGTCAAACAACATGTTGCTGCTGCCCGGCCACTGTGTTGTCCGATTTGTTGTACGACAACCCTGTCACACCACTCTGACGGCGGGGGCAACACGCGCACTCTCCGCCATCTTGATTATTTACCTTCGTTCGTGTGCGGCGCGGCGTCGCTGGAAGTGTGACTCTACAAAGAGCTAGTGCGTTCGAAGAGCCGGAAAATACAACGAGACAACATCAACCAGTGACTGTGATAAAGAAAACTTGACACGGGGAGTCTTTTCCACCCTTTATTTTATCAAAACGTTCTTCATTCGCGGACAAAACAGATAGCCCTAACCAAGGAAAATCGTATGAAGTGTTTCTGTCCGGTCCTCTCCTTCATGCAATTCCTATTTCTACTGCAAAATTGAGTAAGCGCCCGCAGTACCCCAAAGCGTCTTTTGTAGCGTGGTGTTGAGCTGAACTGACAGCGCTCAAAAACTGCGACACCGACATAATCGGCCTTCGTAAAAATCGGTGGAATAAATATTTTTCAACGCTGTGTATTTGCCTACCGCCTTCTATGGGATCGCTTCATTCCCCTAAACGTCCTAGGTGTATTTTTGAAAGAAATTAAATGTATGGTAGCGGCTGTTTCCAAGTTCCAAGCATCAACAATCATGATCAGAGTGGTCGTTTTAATACTACGAATTTTAATATCCGTTTTCTTGGTTATTTTTATTATACTTTATCAGGTGAGTAGGGATATACCGTTTTATTTCACCAGCAGTAATGTTAGCTGGTCTCTCGGCAGTTCTAGTTTCGACACCAGTTTGTGCGTAAACACGACCGCAGCTGTGACAGTTTCGACAGCCCCTTTCCGTAATTACGCAGTAAAAATATTCATCAAATTATTTTAGCTGCACGCCAGCCTTAA